ACAAGCAACTTCCTATACCCTGACCAGATCCTCGCTACTATTGAACATGTAAAACTCTTACTAATAGTTGTATAACTAATGTTTCTAGCCATCTGTACTTTTCTTTCCATTATCAGAAAAATCATATAAAATTTCTTCCCTCTTTTGAAAATATTTTCAGAACAATACTTGATAAAAAAGTTTTATCAATCAAATCATTTATCTTTTTGATCTATGGAATATAATCTATCCATAAAACTTCTTGATCACTAGAACAACCCAAATAGCTCTCTATCATGAATTACAGGGGCAATGATACAAAGTCCCAATTTGAGATATGTGAATTGTTCCAAACTGGGGTTGAACTGTGATTTATAGATTAGCCCTATTCTGCCTTAGCCCATTGAACTATAATCAGATCAGTCTTAAAAATCTAACAATATTATATAAAAATTTTTAACTATTTTTAATATGTACTATATATATATAATTTCTTAATAAATTTATAAATTAAAATTAGAAATAATAAAATTTTAAAGAATTTTTTTGTAATTTTATTTTTAAATCAACTTTTTTAATAATATCATTAACTTTAAAATAGGATATATTAAAAAATATTATTTTATTTTAAAATTTTTCATGGTTTTTTTTTTATATCTTTAAAAATATATTAATAAAATATTAAATTATAAAACAATTATTTATTAAATTATTAATTAAAATAAAATTATAAACCTGTGAATCCATAACACAGTGATTAATGCTCCATAAATTAGATCACAAGATACCAATTCAATTCCATATAAAGGTGATTGAATAGATTAATATAATATCTGACACTATAATCAATTATATATTATTTCTTATAAAAAGCCATTTCATACATTAATCCAGCAGGTATTAATATTGTGATCTTCCCATTAAGGTATAGTAATATGACGATCATCCAGTTAGTGTCACAATAATCATCTAACAAAAAAATATTATCATATATTTGGATGTATAGACTGGACTGTATTTCATCTTAATCAAGGACTAGCTGATGAGGCTGTCAGGATTCATTATACTGCTATAGGACTTGAGGGTCCTGCTTTGCACTGGTACCTTAACAAAGTAATTGTTGCAGAAAATGTTACTGCCTTTGCTAAATGAACAACTTTTGCTTAAAAGTTACAAGCTGTCTTTCAACCATCTAATTACCAACAGTATTTGTAATAACAGCTTAAACAATTTAAACAAATAGAAAGTGTGCATAAATATAAAGTACAATTCCACAATATTTTGAAACAAATTAATGATATGGCCAAATTGGACAAGGTCACTTACTTTGTGAATAGGTTGAAACCTGCCACCAAAATGGAAATTAATTACTGAGCACCTGACACTTTTGAGGAAGGTTGGAAGCTTGCTATCCACTATAACTCTATTATGTTTGAACTTACAGAAATTAAGAAAACTTCATCAAATTTTTTGTCATTTTCTTCTTTATCTTTTAAAAGTTTATTACAATTTATAAGCCTTTCAACAATAGAAACAAGGTACCAATGTCATTAACAACTCCTATAGAATTGAACTATGTGAGTAAAGGAAAATTCTATAACAATAACAAGAAAAAAGGATACAACACATCAGTGTAATCTTTATTATTTATATCATAAAAAGAGAAATGCCACCATTGTGGAAAAATGGAATACCATGCAAAAGAGTGCAGGACTTCCTATCCTATACAACAAAAAGCAAAATTTAACAATGTTTAGAAGTATATCATTAACAAATTATTCAATAACAAAGCTAAACTTGCATATCTAAAGAACAATAGGAAATGTCTTCTGAGGTTTAATAGTAAGGTGAATAAACATTCTACACTAATTCTGTTGGACAATAGAGCATCACAAAATTTTATCAATGAAAAAATTTGTTCAATGAATGAAACAACCAACCAAGGAAACAAAATCTTTCTCTGTATCTCTTGCTAATAGGATTGAAAAAGGAATTAATAAGCTGTCAACATTTCTTTACTACAATTGAAATCCTATTGTATCACTGGGATTAATGCTTAAGTGCTGTGCATATAGAGATATGATATGATCCTAGTGTTATATATCTTCCTACCTCAGAAGAAAGATATGGATAAAGAACTAATAGCAAGGAGACACTTTATATGGATAGACCAATGTGGTATGCTAAAGTTCATAAGGGTGTACTAAAATTAATACAATTCTGAGATGTATGAGGTCAAGCAAAAGATGCAATAGTGATTTGTTTTGTAAAGGTCAAGTTATTTTATTAATAAAGAGGAAAGTTTAACCTTACAATTCCAGGAGAAATTGGAAGCGTTTATATATATATTTTTGATATATGATTTGCGTACATGATAGTAGTATACTTTGGTAAAGATAATAACTATGAAAGAAATGATATCTTCGTCAAAATAGTCAACTATACTTATTTTGGTAAAGATGAATACTCTGGCGAAGATAGCAAAGTGATAATAGTAAATAAAATTAAAGAATATTCCAGAATAGGCAGAGATGGCGAAGTAGGCGAAGTAGGCGAAGGTACTACAGTAGATCAATAGTACAGAAATTCTAGAACAAGGAAAGGGTATTTTAAAGGCTAAATGCTAATGGATTGTCACAAGGGTAAAATAAAATGTTAAGCAAAGATCAAGTATAACACTAGGGAAATTATGGTTATATTATGCCAATCCCATTATCGATTGGAAAAAAAACACTATAATCTTCTATTATAGACCATATACCATTCATGTCAAAGCTAATACTGAGCCTATACAATCATCACTGGGATGTTATTCTATTTTTGTAATATGACAACAACTTGTGAGGATATCACTATCTGAAAAATTATTTGCCATTTGTGTTACAACTGAGGAATTATCTGAGGAGAAGCCTGTCATGCCACTGGAGACCAAAAATTTGATCAAAAATTTTAAGAATGTCTTTTCATCTGAACTGCCAAACCACCTACTATCCAAGCAAACAGTAAATCATATCATTGAATTAATACCAGAATCTGAACCACCATTATGACCTGTGTACTGTCTGTCCTATATGAAAATAAATAAGTTAAAAAGGCAACTTGCTGATCTGCTCCAAAAAGAATTCATTTGTCTTTTGTGTCTTCATTTAATGCTCCTGTTCTCTTTGTCTATAAAAAGGAAGATTATTGAGATTGTGTATTAACTATCATACATTAAACAAAATCATTATCAAAAATTGGTATCCTCTATTAAGGATCGATGAGCTGATGGATCAACTTGTGGAAGCAAAATTTTTCACAAAAATTGATTGTATTCTAGATATTACCAAATTTACATTAAGAAGGAGAACATTTCAAAAACAGTGTTCAGAATCTGCTATGGTCATTTGAATTTCTTGTTCTGTCATTTGGTTTCACCAATGCATTTGCAACTTTCATGACTTTGATAAATAATATTTTTTGTGATTATCTTAATAAATTTGTATACCTGAATAATATTGTGAAAGGGAAATTGCATGGTCACATGAGTGTATGCAATAATAATCCCAAAAATAACAAATCTGAGAGAAATGAGATATCTGTGATTTATTTCTTTTCTTTGATTTCATCGTTTTATTTCAAATAGTTAAGATAGTTAATATAGTTAAGAAATTAGATATAGCAGCAATAGTTTAGATAGTTGATATATCTGATATAATTTTTTGAAACTAGCATGTATATAAAGTGAGAGAAAAAGTCTAAATAAACTTAACAATAATTACTAATTATCTAATTGTTTAATGACTATTTGTTCAACCAACTATTCTGTAAATGTATAACATTTGAAGGTAAAACTGTAACCATAAAGGAATTTGGAAGAGTTTCAAGTAGTTGATAGTGTGAATGCCCATTGCTACAACAGAAACTTTGGTATAGTTTGAGTAGACGAATGTATATGCTAATGGATAAAATTAAAGTTTATTTTTGTAGAACGAGAAAAATACTCGAACCAAATTATTATGCCTCAGCCTTAAAAAACTAAGTATTAGAGAGAACTAGAAAAACCCCTCACAAAATTTGGTGGTAACTGTGAGATTCGATCAAAACGAAGTTCACTATTCCTCTGATTTTTTTTGAAAATGAACAAATTATTGAACAAATGATTTGACTTTCCCTTTTAATTAAGAAACAACACTTTATTACCTCCCCCCTCTCCGATTTTTTCTTGCAAACGATTTCTTTTATTATTTTTTTTCCTTAAAAAAATACATAGGATGGCCCACGTAAAAGAACCTGTGGACTTTCTGGGAGATGAATATGACAAATGATCAAGAGCAGCCACTCCCACTCGTGAAGACAATATGTACTCATTTTTGGGAAAGATTTTTAGAACTTGCCGCGATGCTACAACAGAAGTAATGAGGAGAACACTCGAATGCTATGAACAGGTTGGGTGAGAAACGAACTGGGTGCCAGTAAGAATATATTATGGGACAGAATAAAAAGACCCCATAGAATAAATAGAGGCCTTTGAAAGAGCAGCAATAGCAAACAATTGGACAAAATGAAGAAGAATACAGATTGCTTCTGGATATCTTGCCGGGATGGCAGTCAGTTGGTATGACGATAATTGGTGCACTATAGACCACTGGAACAATGATAAACACAAAGATCAAAGTTTTGTCCTGAGGTTCATGGAATATTTCACCATCCCGGAACAAAGACACAAATGGCAGATGAAGCTCAACACAATAATACAGAAGAATAAAGAAAAAGTGGATACTTATGTGTTTTGGTTCAAGCAGTTGTTGAGACATGTTAACTTGAAACATCGCCTGCCAACTACATATGTCATATGATTGTTTACTGGCAGATTAAAAGGAGAAATTGCAAGGTTAATGCCACTGGTGGAGCCCACCACACTAGACGATGTGATCACAAGTGTGTAAAAACTAAAAGCTAGAGAATACTATACCGGCAGAAGAAAGGAGAGTAACCCAGCTAATGATGCCATTAGCAGCCTAATGAAACAAGTGCAAGAAATGTCATCAAAGCTGACCATGATAATAAGAGAGAAGGAAAATACTAGAAACCAGAGTTACCAACCCACCAGATGCTTCAACTGTGGAAGACAAGAACATAGAGCCCATGAATGCCCCGAGCCAAGAAGAATGCCACCACAAGTTGCCAACCCTTGTAATGCGAACCTTTGCGAAATAGAAAACAGTAAGGATGAAGCTTACGTTGCTACTAGATCATGACATTAGCCGTACACTGTTAATCATTCTAAAAAGGATGAATTGAGTAAGGAACCTACTGGGAGAATTGTGAACCAGCCACGACAAACAAAACAAGTACAACTGAAACAACAAGAAGAGCGCACTCAATCAACACAATCAGCAGAAATGAAGATTATGACAGAACCTGCAAAAGAGAATGCTAAGAATGCCATGCCACGAGTTAAGTGCCAAAGAGGACTGTCAGTAGTAGACCAAGTACCCTCATACAATGTTACAGAAGACTTGTTGAGTTAGAAAACTAATGTCATGTATGCCCAACTATTGCAAATTTCGAAACAATGACAGCATCTGGCACAAGTATTGAAACAACCTATTATCACTCCCATGGAAGTTGACTATGTGGAAGACCAGCCCCAACGAATCTCAGCAGCTAGATGTAATGTAAAGATAAGAAACAAACCAGTTATAGCAGTATTGAACTCTGGAGCTGCAGTGAGCATTATGTCGAAGAAATTGCTTACCAAGCTTGGGCTATAGATTTCAGAACCATCTAATACTGTTGTCGTCACCATGAACAGAATACGGGAAAGAGCTTTAGGAAAGTTGAAGGACGTAGTACTACAACTAGGAAGAATCACTGTACCTACAGACTTTCAGGTTATAGAATCTATGGAAGAAATGATGTTATTAGGAATGAGTTGGTTTAAGAGGTTATGTACGCGCCTATATTTCGATGAACAAAAATTGATCATTACTCATGAAGGAGAAAGCATAGAGCTACCTATTCACCAAGAAAAAAAAGCTAAAATAGAGAAACTGAAAGAGGAGGAGGAAGAGAATTATAAGAAAAATGATTATTTTGACATATATAAGGAAGAAGAGTTAGATGAAGTAGAAAGTTACTTGACCGATGATCAAGAGAACTTATATACCAACCCATGGATTGACGAGTATAGCCCAGCAGCATATTTGACAGTGATTGAAGAAGCTCTGACAGCCGAAGAAACCGAATGACCCGTACAATCTCTAGAAGGAATAATAGAAGAATTAGTAAATGCCAAGGTCATCGACGACAACCAACGAAAGCAGACTATTTACTTACTAGAAGAAAATAAGAAAACCTTTGCCAATGGATTGGATCAACTGGGACAAACTGACGAAGTATAGCATGAAATCGACACTGGAGAAGCAAAGCCGATTAAACAACACGTATATAGAGTATCCTCTAGTGAGCAAGAGTTTTTGAAAAAGGAAATCCAGAAAATAAAGGAAAAGAAATTAATTAGCAAAATTAAGAGCCCCTGGACATCTCCGATAGTGATAGTTTCAAAGAAAAGAGAAAAATTACAATTATGCATAGACTATCGAAAGTTAAATGCAGTCACGAAGAAAGATTCGTACTCTCTACCTAGGATTGATGACTTGTTGGAAGCTTTTGGGAAAGCAAATTGGTTTTCTAGTCTATACCTAGCTAGTGGATATTGGCGGGTTAAGATGTGAGAGAAAGATAGAGAGAAAATCACGTTTATCACGAAACAAGAAACCTATATGTTCAATGTAATTTCCTTTGGATTGTGTAACATGCCAGCAACGTTTCCGAGAACTATGAATCAGATCCTTTACGAATACTTGGAAAAATTCATAGTAGTATACCTTGATGAAATCAATGTGTATTCGACGACTTTTGAGAAGCATGTGGAACACCTACGAAGAGTAATAACGAGGATCAACAAAGCCAAACTAAAATTCAACAGAGGGAAGTGCCAGTTATTCAGGACGGAAATCTGATTCTTAGGACACATAGTAAAACGTAATGGAATCCAGCCGAACGAAGAGAAAATAATCAAAGTGAAAGAATTTCCGACGCCAACAAACCTAAGACAACTACGAGGATTCATTGGACTTGCATCATATTACCAATATTTCATTAAGAACTTTGTAACAATCGCGAAGCCGATACATAAGCTATTAAAAAAGGGAGTAAAATACAAATAGACGCTAGCACAGGAACAAGCATTCGAGAAACTTAAGACTTACCTGACCTCAGCACCTATCTTGCAGTATCTGGACTTCGAGCGAATGTTTTATCTTTACATAGATACTTTTGAAGTAAGATTAGGAGCCATACTAGCTCAGAGAAGAGAAGATAAGAAGGAATATGTTGTTGCATACACGAGTAAGAGCCTTATTAGAGCAGAGTAAAATTATGCAGCTACAGAATTGGAGTGTTACACAGTAATCTGGGCCATGGAGCATTTTCACCACTATCTCAGATTTAAGCCATTCGTGATAATAACAGATCATATAGCATTAAAATGGTTGTATAACACTATACTAAAAGAATGGAGAGCATGATGGATTTTATGATTACAGCCGTACCAGTAAAGATGGGTCCCTAAAATATTTAGCATATAAAATTTACATCCTTTTACGTCCACGTCCCCTAGAGGACATAATTCCTAGCTCTTTACTTCAATAGGGACATAATTCCAGAAATGATTTGTATAGATGCTTAAAACTATAAAGAACATTTGTAGGTAGTTTTTTTTTATTCCTTAATATAGAAATGAAAATTTTTAATAGTAAGGGACATTTGAATTATGTCCTCACAAATAATTTAGGGACCCATCTTTACATACCAGTATATTATTCAGCATAGAGCCAGACGAAAACACCATAATGCCGATGCACTATCTAGAATTCTGATCATAAGAAACCAAAGGAAAAAGAAGGAATAAGAGATGAAAACTTAATTAATTATTGTTAGTTGAAGTACCTAGGTTATGAAATGCGATCCACTCGAGAGTTGCGACATTAACTAACAGCTATAATCAAGAAAAGAAGGAAATCTAACGAGAAACAAAATCCAGCCCAGGTTGTTGGTATCTTGGCACTAATAAGAATCAAGATGGAACAATAACGATACAATACAATCAAGACTTACCTATTGTACCAAAGATACCTGTCAAATTTCGACAAGTAACAACAATGACAATTAAGAGCACAAAGCAAATTCTTTCATGTGCAAGATGACCAATTATTCAAAAAAAATAGATCAAAGAAGCAAAACAACCTGATTAGAGTTCTCATGGAAACAGAAGTGAATTCAGTACTAGCATCAATATATAATCATCTATTGGAAGGCCATTTTTCGAAAGATGTGATGTTTAATAAGATTCAGGAGTACTATTATTGGCCGCAGATATACAATAACATACGAGAATATGTTAGAACCTGTGAGTAATATCAGAAAGCCAGAGCAAAGAAGAAGAAGCTACCATTATACCCCATTCCTGTGATATCACCTTTTTATAAGATTGAAATCAATATAGTTGGACCTTTACCGACGACGCCTAGATTGAACAAGCATATCATAGTAGCAACCAACTATATGACCAAGTGGCCGGAAGCACGTGCCATACGAAGAGACACAGCCGAAGAAATTGTCAAATTTATTTATAAAGACATTATATGTCAACACGAATATCTGATGTATATACTCACAAATCGAGACATGTATTTTAGGAATAGAATGATTGATAAATTAATGGCGATACTACAAGTGAAGCATCAATATTTTACCCCATATTACTCGCAAATCAATGGATTAGTGGAGAGATTTAACAAGACCTTATGTAACTCGATTGCCCAATTAGTTACCAAGATAATAGAATGGGATACAATAATTCAGCCAATATTATTTGCTTATCATACCGCAAGACAAGCTATGACCCAGCAAACATCTTTTATGTTAACTTACGGAAGAGAAGCATGATTATCTGCCCATCTGAGTGAATCCGAAAATTTACTTAATGAAATGTTCTTGCAAAGAATGTATAAGTTGACTACAAAAGTACCAAACACGAGAAAACAAGCTCTTTTACAGATCCAGGACAATCAACAAAAACAAAAGGCAAATCATGATCAGAAGTTGAAAGGCACTATTACTTTTGAAATTAGAAATAAAGTATTAGCTTATGATATGCAGCGAATGAATGCTCTGAGTCACAAGTTCGTACCTAAATGAAAAAAACCATATTACATATACACTATACTTACGAATGAAGCTTACAAATTAAGGAAATTAGATGGGAAAGTTTTATCTATGCCGATTAATGGAACCCACTTGAAGAAATATTTGGAAAGAAAGTATTGAAAATTGACCTTATTTTATTTTATTTTTTATTTTTTATTTTTTTCTTATAAGAACATTAGAGGATCTTGTCAAATTTGATATTTTGTCTACTTAGCTATTATCCGTAATGCCCAAAATATGTTTATATCACAAGAGTCAAGGATTTCAAGATCAAGTTACATTAGCTTATAATTGACTCAAGAGAGCTAGAAGTATCGGGAATCAGATTAGCAACCTTACTCATGCATATTACTTGGAAGCAAGGATATAGACACTTACCTCAGCAGAAAGATCTGTCGTACAAAGCATTTTAACCACATATTACCTTAAAGCCGCGATCTGGACCTACTACCTTTTCTAACCACATGGAGTTGCGCAGATCTACCAAATAACATATACCACTCTTTCAATGATTGTCAAGCTCATGAAGCACAAATTTAATCAACTAATTATGGAGGAACCTGTGGAACATGTTTTTCTAACGGAGAAGAATTGTGAAAGGAAAATTGTATGGTCACATGAGTATATACAATAATGATTCCAAAAATGACAAATCTGAGAGAAATAAGATATCTGTGATTTATTTCTTTTCTTTGATTTTATCATTTTATTTCAAATAGTTGAGATAGTTAATATAGTTAAGAAATTAGATATAGCAGCGATAGTTTAGATAGTTGATATATTTGATATAATTTTTTGAGACTAGTATGTATATAAAGTGAAAGAAAAAGTCTAAATAAACTTAACAATAATTGCTAATTATTTCATTGTTTAACGACTATTTGTTCAACCAACTATTCTGCAAATGTGTGACATTTGAAGATGAAACTGTGACCATAAAGAAATTTGGAAAAGTTTCAAGTAGTTAATAGTATGAATGCCCATTGCTACAACAAAAACTTTGATATAGTTTGAGTAGGCAAATGTGCATGCTAACAGATGAAATTGAAGTTTATTTTTGTAGAATGAGAAGGATACTTGGACCAAATTATTATGCCTCAGTCTTAAAAAACTAAGTATTAGAGAGGACTAAAAGAACCCCTCATAATATCCTTATATATAACAAAACTAAGGAGGAATACTTATAATATGTTCATACTATACATGTGGTTGTATTATTATAAAAGAAAATTTTATTGACAATATGATTTTGAATTAAATACAAATTCCAATTATTTACTATATATTACTTAGTAATTCTACCATAATATGGTTTTTGAAAAATGATTGAATTTAATTTCATCACATATATAGTCTATATCATACATGTGGTCGTATTACCATAAAAGGAAATTTGATTGACAATATGATTTTAAATTAAATACGAATTCCAATTAATTACTATATGTTACTTAGTAATTAATTGGAATTCGTATTTAATTCAAAATCATATTGTCAATCAAATTTCCTTTTATGGTAATATGACCACATGTATGGTCCATACTATCTTACAAACTCTGAAGGAATATTAACTATATGTTAAAATTTTCAAATGTAGATTCATTCAACAAAGTGTCAAGTATATGGAACACATTATTTTTAAAAAAGGAGTTTCTATAGATCCAAGAAAAATAAATACCATTTGTTCATCAGGAAATTTTTTGGTGGAGATCTCCGGAGATCTCCACCCATAAAAAAATTTTTGAAAATTTCCGGAAAAAAC